GACCCAGGCCCAAATGGCATGAGGAAGGGTGACGGAGCAAGGGCCACAGGGGTGAGGACAGGGAAGGGGCAGCTGCCAGGGTACCAAGGGCTGCCGCCGGCACTCACCCTGTGCCTGCACCAACTCCTCAAGCTGTCTCCCATGCAAGACATTACATGGCCACACATGGAGCGGCAGAAACGCAGGCAACCCAGGAGGGGCCACCTGGCAAGGAGACCTGAGAAGCCACCACTGTCCTGCCCTGCTCAGGGCTCTGCCACTCCTAGGCTGAGAAGCAGGACTTGGGCCTCAGCCCTATCTAAGCACCCCAGGACCTAAGAAGAACAGCAAGCAGCGCCAGGGCAGGGCCACCGAGCGCCTAGGCTAGGTCCCCCGAACCCCAGGCTCCCTGTGGCTCCTCTCAGAGCCCTCCTGGCCACCAGGGGGAATGGCAGGGCACACCCTCATCACACCTGAATCAGGGCCATGCAGCTCCACACCACACTGTAGAGCAACCCGCAGGTCAGGCTGGGGCTACTCTCCAAGGCTGGGGACAGCCTGAGCCCCCACATCTTACACAGTCTTGGTGCCTTTCAATGAGTAAAGTCATCACCAGATGGCTTCATAGCAAAGAAAATGATTCGAGGTGAGTGTCCCACACACAGCCTTGCCTGTCCCTGTGGCTGTCTTTGAGCGACACACCCCTGCAGGGGCAGTGGGAAGCACTGGCCTGCTGCTCCTGCACATAGCTGCTGACATGGTCTGACCACCTACAGAGGCACCAAGAGGGTAAAGGGCAGAGAATAGTCTGGGCCCAAGGAACAACCTGAGGCGTGCCAGGTGCAGACCCAGGCACATGGGAGGACATTTGTTGAGAAGCCAGGGTCTGGCTCAGCCCTCTCTGCCCTAGGACAAGACACCGCAGACTGGGCATTTGTAAGCTACGGAGACATCACTCACGATGCCAGAGGCGGGAGGGCCAAGATCACAGTGCCTGAGACTAAGGGCCCTGTCGGCCTCAGTCCTTTCTTGGCAAGCCCCTACGGGCTTTCTTAAGGACCCTCATCCCATTCATAAGGCCATCAAGTCCTGATCCCACCAAAGGCCCTGCCTCTCAATACCATCACCCTGGAGACATGTTTCTATATGTGAATTCAGAGGGACACAAACTCAGACACAAATGGAGTGTCACTAGGACAGTGCTTTCCCCAGATGGAGGTCAACAAACATTTGCTGCCCAGGTAAATGTGCTTGTGAGGGTACCCTGCCACAATCCCGGCCCTGCCCACCTGACAGAGCCGGGTGCACCCAGGGAGTGCAGTGGCAGCCAGGGTTGCACATGGGAGGCCACGCCAAACCAAAACGTCCTGGGGGGTGGCAAACTCCCCCTCAGCAGCCCCTCAGCTGGACAGACAGATTGCCCAATAGGATGTTCTTCTCCTTCTGAGGATCCCAGGAGGGGCCAGGGCCCGGGTGCCATGCTGAAAGGTGGGGTGCAGGTAGGCTACAGGGAGCCCAGCTCATTCAGGAAAGGATATCCCAGGCCAGGATGGCAACACTGCCCTTCCTTCCCAAACAGGTACATGCAGAAGCCCCAAGAAGCCAACCCAGACTCTGAGACCCAGGGCATCCAGAGAAGAATTTCTGATTGCCCAGCACTCCTCCCTACTAGGCCCTTCCCACCTGGGGCACCATTAGGAAGCCCCCAGCTTTCACCTGGACACATAGAGGAACAAGACCACCAGGACCATCCTCAGATAGTTCTGATGGCGGACAACGAGGACATGGAATACCCTCTTTCCAGCAGCTTCTGTGGTGAGCCCTCGGCCCTCTGCCTGCACAGGGCAGTATCACCTTCCTGGCCCTGATGCTTTGAGGATCCAACGGAAGCCCAGGCACTTTCCCGTAAGAAATGGGCCTGACACACAGAAGCCAGCCTGTGCCCACAGCACACTCATGCCCCCCCATACCTGCCCACAAGAGGCCCCAGAACCCTCCTGTGGGTCAAGGACCCAGGCAAAGAGGCCCCAAGCCCCCACTCACCTGCAACATGAGCTCACATTCATCGCGTCCCACAAAGATCAGCTCGCGTGGTAGCCGGTGGCGGGTGCCGCTGCTGCTCACCAGAAACCACGACGTGACGCTCATCTTGGTGCTGACGAGGCCTATCTGGCCCTGGAGGGAGGTGGTCATGAGAGTGGGGCTCCCTGGTCTGGGCCTTGGACCCCTGTACACACCTGAGGCCCACCAAAGATCTGCCCATCTAAGCTCAAACTGGTTGATTCCAGAACTGCTGGGCTTCAGCATAGCAGGCCACCCAGCCCTCCTAGGCGTGCCTTCAATCCCACTGCCTTTGTCTTGTATGACCTGCCTCTCCTTGGAGGCCTACCTGTGGACCACCCAAGGTCCTCCCCATCCCCCAGGCCCCACCTATTCCCCTTCTCTCTAGGTGCCAGGGGACAAGGTCCATGGAATTCTGGCTACACTGCCTGTATGTGAACCCACATGTCCACCTAATCCAGCAGGAGCACCTCACAGTGACACCTCAGGGTTCCCAGGACATGAAACCTGAGCCAGAGGGCCCACTTCTCCAGCAGTACTCTCTGGAAGCCCTGACACAAGAAGGCCTCGGGCACAAGACTGGCTCCATCGCGGCTCAGTGCAAAATGTAAGTGCGGTGGCCTCGTCTAGGCTGACGCTGACGGAGAACTTGTGGCTCTGAGAGCAGAGCATGCACTCAAAGGCGGGGTCTGGGCAGGAGCTTATACCCAGTGTACAGGTTCCTTGCCCAGGAGGCCAGCCCTGGGGCTCTGAGTCCCTGCACATCACAATCTGCTTCATGTAGAGAACAGGTGAAATTAGGAGACAAGTCCAAAGGTGATCTGGAGACTGGTCAAGAAGTGAGGGCAACAACCCAGGACAGAAGTGACAGGGCTGGGACCCTGGTGAGTGCACAGGTGGAGATAAAGGCAGGGCCACTGCAAGTAGAGGTGTGGAGGTGGACATGAGGGTGGGACAGAGGAGCTGGGAAGGATTGGCAGTCCTGGACAGAGCTAGACAGGTGGGGGCCATCGCTAGCTGGGAACAGTCACACAGGGTCCCCCACACATCTCCCAGGAAGTGCACACAGTCTACACATACGAGGTGACACCAGTCACCCTGGCCCTTGGGGCCCAGGCCTTATACTGCAAAGCCCAACACCCACACCAGAGGCTAAGCCCAGCTCTTCACTGAGGTCTCAGCTGCATTCCAGGTGGACAGTGCAAGACCAACACCATGCTCCACCCATCTGAATGCCCAAGGGGCCATGCATTCCATGTGTACTGTCACCTTGCCCAGAAGGCAGGAAGAGGGAGAACCGTCTGCACCAGGAGGAGGCAGTTTCAGTTCACCAGCACGCCCCTCATTCTGGGACCCCTGCCCTTTCGTAGAGCCCAGCCTCCAGAGAGGAAACCACTGGGGACCTCAGGGTGAAACTTCAGAGTCTCCAGAGCCCAGACAGCAGATACAAGGCCTCCACAACCCTACCACCCAGAAAGCCCTGATCCTGCTGGGGGAGATGACAGGGCTCTCCAGAGAGCCCCCACCCCATCAGAGTCTCCCAGCCCCCATCCAGCTTTAGGTCTCATTCTCTGCTGTCACCTGCTGCTGGTTCCCTGTGGCCAGCAGACTGGGCCTCCCCCAGAGGAGGCCACAGCCTCTGCCTAAAGCAAAGGGAGGTCAAGCCCCCAGAGCCTGGTCAGGCGGCTCTGCAGGAGACAGGCCACACACTGTCACCACCAGCCCATCCTGAAAAGGCCTGGGAGTCACCAGAGGTTCCCAGCAGCCTGCCGCGGGTTTGGGGCTGGGCTGGCCTGGCCATGGTTGCCAGGAGGGAGAATAATAAACACCCCAAACTTGTCCCCTCAGCTATCCCAGCCAGAAGGGCCACAGCCCAGAGGGGAGGAGGAGAGGAGGCAGCGATGCGGAGAGGCTGGGGACAGCAACGAAGTAGGCTGGCGGCTGGAAGGAGCAGGCAGGCTGGAGACAGGCCGAGAGGTGGCAGGGACAGCGAGGAGACGGCGGCGGCGAAGGGAAATGAAGAGAGGAGGAAGACAGAGGGAGGGACAGAGGGAGGAGGCCGGGAGGCGGCCCGGCGGG